TAGATTGGAGCTAATTGCAGTAGGGCAGTGTGTGTTAGAGATGCTGTTTTGTGAAATTATAAAGCCTGAGACACAGTGGAACAACTAACTGTCCGAAGTTTGATTCAAAATTCAAACTAACACTAATTTAAACCGAATGAATGATCTGTGTAATGATTATAACTAAAGGATTTCTGAAGCAACCACTGCATCACTCAGTGTAAATTATTTGACTTGTGTTGCACTCGCAAGTTCCCCTGACAGACCCTGGATAACAACTTCATTGCAAGGATCACTTTGATGTCATAGCAAACTTAGCATCAAGAGGCAGCGACACCCACCATCACGGTCCGCCATGCTGTCAAAGAAGAGCCAGGCTGAATCTGCGCTGCCGTACTTGACGAAGGCCACGTAGTGACTGGTTTCGATGCACAGCACGGCGAACAGCTCCATCCTCTGACGGGGGAAACTGCCCTGCCGCCCCGTACCGTCTTGCAGCTCCTTGGGGACGGACAGTTTGCCGTGCCGATGGGTTTTTCTCCTCGGGTGGAGGTGAACCTAAATCGGTGAGAGAGACAGACCTTCACAAACACTCTTACACATTCACTACCGTGGCCTATTAATGGGTTCAATATGTGTTATATATACATATATAATACAAGAGAGAATGACAGCAAACTACAGCTTGAAAGTACATTTGAGGATTCATACTACCAGATAAGTAATGTCACTTTTAATGAAATATAATTTCTGTAAATGTGACTATTTGCTAGTAAAGAAATTAATAGACCATGTGTTACAATCTACTGCTGAAGCCACTGATCTGCTACATAACTTCTGCATTGAAACAGTGCCATTCCTGTGGATTTGGCGCCCCCAAGTGGATCCTCCTTGCACACTTTCCAACTTATTTTTGTTGAACTGGTGTTGCCACAATGCCCTCTGTTGTTTACCTGTGTATTGCACTTTTCACAGAACTGTTTGATCTTGCCAGCCGTGATATCCCCGTCCTCATAACAGTCTCGACACTCGTACAAAGCCAGTCCTCCGCAGATTCGACATTCCCTCGGAGCTGGATAATAAAGACACGTACCTTTATCATTGCTGACAAGTGTAGTTCTTCAGTTAAAAGCAGGTTTGTAAGCAAGATTTTTTTTTAAAAAGGTTCCTTCATCTCACTGAGTTGCAGTGACAACTCAGTGAGATTTCATTACCGAACGCCACACAGCTCTGAATCACCATTGATCGCCAAAGTACACACCACGCTCGCACACACAAAAAATATATTGGCCACAACTCACTGTCTTCAAGGAGGTCTGTGATGTCTAACTCTAGTGAGGGGAAAATCTTGTTGAACATTTTGAAGTCCTTGCCAAACCGGGGCATCTGGATGATAAGGCAGGAGGGAGCCTGTGAGGGTGTGAGGGACAGAGAAAGAGAAAACATAATAAGTCATCAACAAAGCAGCAGAGAACATGTCAGCAAAGATCAGTCACACAGAAACTGAAACTTGAAGACAAGCGGCTGAGTACTTGATATCCACCACATCAAAAAAATCATGTCTTGATAAGTATAACGACAGGCATTCTTGATATTTTGATACTTAATGTCATAATAACATTGTAATATAATGAGAATAAAGTCATACTTAAGAAGAGAGTCGTAATATTATGAGAACAAAGTATGTTATGAGACTAAAGTCATAGTTTAATGAGTTTAAAGAAAAGTCATAATATTTCATGAATATTGAATAAAACAAGTTTTAGGAAATAAGCAGCAAGGAGAACCTGTACTGTTTTACTTCGTCTGGATACAAAATCTTGATAATAAAATTGTTTCTTGAGAAACTACAAACCGCCTTTGAATATCACACAGATATAAACAACAATAACCTCAGTCGACCACTACCAAACATTTCCGCCACCCCTCTAAAATTACACACGTAACAAAAATTATGACTTTATTCTCAAAAACTCAAATTTTACTTTCCTTTAAATGGCCCACACTCATAAATAAAATCCAACCCTGATTCTTTGAAATGTATTATAATCTTGGTTTAACCCTTTTTTGTTAAGTTATTGTATTGTTTTAAACATCCTTTATAGTTTTTTCTTTTTATAATTTTCTTTTTATGTAAGGCATATAGAGCTGCATTTTATATAATGACAACTGCTATACAAATGAAGTTTATTATAATTCATGACATTTAGGTGAATGAGGATGTACAATGATCACAGCTCACAGAATTTTGTTCTGATAATCAGCATTTAAACAAAATTCCCAAATTTTTTGATTAACTTAAAAAAGCCCTTAGAAAACTACAAATTTAGTTTCAGGCAAACTACTCGTCTTTCAATAACAAATAATTAACACAAGGTGGAGCCAATCCCCACAATACCACATTCTGGAGATGCTAAAAGTACATAATATTATTTTGTACAGGTAAATTTGTATCTTCAAATTAATTAAAAGGTGTGTAATTCATTTATTCTTTTCTAACCACAGCCATTCATACATGAACCATAAATTACACATTAAGTTTCAGAGTACTTCAAATTTGAATCCTCACACCATTTTGAATGGTAATAATTATCACAGATTTCAAAGCAACCTGTACCTACAGCCTTCATAGGAAATCACAGCAGAGTAAGATACGAGGCGCTGTGGGAACCTATGAGCTGGATATGAGGACACCATCTATTACCTTAGTCCGACAAATTAAACCACAGCACCATATTATACCAAATGTTGTACTTTATTCATACTGACACTTGCATATGAAACCAAAATTAAATTCACCTCTGCAAACTTCAGGTCACTGTTGATGAAGGACCACTCAAGGAGCTGCTGGATGGTGGGAACTCCCACTTTGTCCTTCTTATCCATGAAGATCTGGTAAAAGTAACAGTCCTGGACCTTCTGTCCCGCCGACCTGGAGAGTTTGATTCACAGCTTCAGTTCTCACAGGTCAAAAATAACACACTATCAATGGACTTTTATTATTAGTTATTATATCATTTTATTTATTATTATTATTATTCACTTTTTCTGCTTTATGAAACACAGACCCTGAATAAACCTTTTGGTTTCTGTAAGTGTGAATGAGTAAACTTGTGTTGTTACATACAGTATGTTACAGTACATGCCACGTCCATCCATCTTTGTCAGTCTGTCACTGCTTGGGTTACTGTAGTATTACTGTGTATTACTGCTGATTAATCCAATAATTCAGTAGATGGGAATGAGACTCTCTGAGACATAAATTCTAATCATTTTGGCCAACAGAGCCTCAAACAAGACATGACGTAAAGAAGTAGTACACCACTTCTCCTTACACTTTAATTTCATCTCTAGTGTCAGTACTGCAGCAGAAGTGAAACAGGGCGCAACTGTGTGCATATAGATATTTCAGGTTAAGATGCAACCTGTTATATTTCTGTGATTAAGCAGGGATGTGTTTGGTAACTACAGCATATGTGGAGAGACTGATAAATACTGACAGCTTCATCACACCATGTCAAACATACTGTGTGGTTTGTGTTAAAATAAATAACTGTATCATCAACTATTTCAGGAAGTTCTTTTGTTCAGCAACTAAAACATACCGAGAGAATTTAACAAACTGTTGCAATAATAGAATTCAAGATTACACTTACATTGTGCCAAAGAGGACCTTACCTTAGCTTGAGCAACGGATCCACCCTCAGTATGTGATGGAAAAGAATATTGAGGAATTCTTCAGGATCTGCAGCACAAAATGTGCTTGAATGAGAATTTAATCACTTGGAAGTAACTTTAGAATAATCATCAACATCAATGAGACATTACTGAAAGACAATTTTTGTCATTCTTCTACCTTTTTCTTCAGAGGTAAACCCAGAGGCAGCTTCTACTTTCTCCAGTATCCTCCGTAGCTTCATCACTTTCGTAGCACAAACATAACCATGTCTGGAGGACAAAGACCGGGCAAGTTACGAGCTAGTACTACTAAAGTTTGTTCAAAAACCTGTGACACCTCCATGTACAATACACCACTGTGACTTACATGCGCAGGGGGTTGACTATCTCTGTGCGTAACAGCTCCTGAGTCTCTCTGTAATATTCTACATCAGTCTTTGATCGTGGCCTCAGCAGAACCGTGTCCAGTACAGAACTGAATGAAAAAAGGCTGCAGAACAGAACATACAACAGAGGCATTAAAATGAATATATATAATTTGCTCAAAATAATTCAGGGTTAAACAGTATAACTTGGCAGATCATCAGAAATTAAAAACAGATATTGTCAAAAGATTTGAATTTTAAACTGTGTAGTCAAAGGTTCACCAAAACCCTTCCGCTATTAATCAGAAATTATGACCCTACCCACCCGACCTGCAGATCAACCGCGAGTCTGTGGGTAAAACTGCAATTTGCACATCACAAACGCACATGAACGTTTACTGCCCAATGACTGATAGAGCTGCTACAGCTACGCCAGACAATTATGTAATTTGGTCCGAATGAAATGAATGGTCGTTTTAGTGTGTTGACGAAACATCCTACAAACCCTACCAAGTCTTTCTATGGGAAACACTTAAACTGAAGTCTCTTTTTAATGGAACTGAAACAAATCAGTCAAATCATATTCAAAGGGGTCTCCTGTCATTTGAGTAATCAAATCATCACTATGATGGAGCCAGCTCATAGCTCCGCTCAGAGTTAAAACGTTTACTAATAAGCTTCTGCCTCCGGGCAAACACAGCAACTGCGGGCAGAGGAAGCGCAGAGTCAATCAATATGACTGAAGACGATAATATAAAATGGCAAACACTGTAGCTGATACAGTATTTACTGTTAGACTTAAAGAGCACTGACCAGAAGAGAGTTGAATCCAGGTAGCAAGAGTTGTAGTGGCCCTGGATGCCTTTCTTTTTTCCCACCATGACATCCAGACCGTCGTGCTCTGTGCGGGGGGGCGTGTTCTCATGTACAACCTCACTGAGGTAACCCCCAAATGCTGCGTACACAAACATGGTACAAGTGAAAAAATAAAGCATTAAGATTGTGTCTTTAATAAACTGTGTTCCTGGTCCTGACTCACCGATGGAGTTGCACCTCTCTATGGGATTGGAGGAGTGGTGCAGGGAGGGGAAGCGGGAGTCGGGCCGGCAGCACTTGAGCTTCACAAACAGGGCTTTTTTGGGTGGGCAGGTGAAGTATCGCGTGCCTTTGAAGGTGCCGTCAGTGCAACCAGGACACTCTTCTTCCTGAAAGTGAAGGTCGAGTTCAGGTCAGCTGCTGCCTGAGTTTACAATATTAGAGCTTAAGCCTACATTTATTCTGGCTGAGGCTGCACTGATCAGGTTTCAGGTATTTTGGAACTGACTTTGTTTACAAATGTTGTCAACAATAATTGGCTTTTAGTGAGAAATATTTTAGATATTGCACTTTACACTGACCTTCCCCGATTTAATCTGTACAAAAACCAAGTGACAATGAGTTTTTGGGGGGGGAATTTTAAGACAGGGATGCGTTTCCCTTGTGTCCAGTCTTGATGCTAAGCGTAACTAAGTAGCTGCTGGCTTTAGCTTCATATTGACAGTCAGATATGAGAGGTAGACCTTTTTTATCAACTCATAAGACAGCAAATAAACCCAATTCCCATAAAGTGATTATAACATAGGTAGTGGAACAGTTATCCACTTATTTCTTTCTTTTCCAGCTTTTTAACCAACACAGCAGTAAGTAGCTGTAAGTATTTTGCTAACCTTGCTAGGCAGGTGGATTTATAACTAGGGAGAATCCAGCTCACCAGGCTCCAAGCTATTCCAATCTTATAAGAGAGTAACTACTGACATCTACACACAGGTCCTCGGTATTGCCACAACAATGGCGGCTCCTAAAGAGGTTAGCGTAGGTGCTGCTATAGCTTCAGTTTTTCTTTATTGAAACGAGCAAAGTACAGCACTTTTCGCGACTGGCTTTGACAAACAGGTTAGATGTTGATTGACACGATGGTTTAACCAATCAAATGCCAACAAGGGCCTACCCTGTTCCAAACATTTTTCAACACAGCTTCCTCGATTGGGTTTTGTGTAACAAACCATCTGGTGCGTCAAGTTAACATTTAGCAAAAGAAACATTAATAAATTAATATGAATTACTGAATGACAGCTGGTATAAGTGTGTTGTGTGACTCTTTAAAATGCAGAAACACTGACTGAAGTACGACAAAGCAGAACAGTTAACGTGAAGACTCAAGAAAAGTACACCAGAGTCTCAGTAACACAACCAGATGTATTATATTGTGTGTGCAAATAATGTTTTGTAACATACTATCTCCTGAAGTATGTCTATATCTTTTGTTTTACCAGTGTTACAGACTATCTGTGAATATTTTCCCCAAGCAGTGATACTGAAATCTAAATCTAACACCTAACTTTACATTGCTGAGTTGTCTCACCAGCTCCAGCCCGGCGAGAGGTTCCGGCAGGCCAGGAGGCAGACCCACCCAGCGAATGACACCACACAGAGGGGGGTTCTCCTTCACCTCTACCAGAGAGCCCACCTCCAGGCCTGGCTGACCTCGGGGGGGCGTCGGTGGTTGTGGTGAGGGAGGAGCAGCGGGCGACGTCGGCTCAGGCTGCTCTCCCATCACCGACTGGACAGAGAGGGAGAGAGGCCCATGGCTCATGCTGTCGATGGGCCCGGTCTTCCGGTTCAGGCTAAATGGCAGAGAGTGGAACTTGTTGTCACTGGACAACGAGGCAGAGGGCGGGGCTCTGGAGGGCGGGGGGGATTGGTTGAAGTCGGGGGGTGTGTCAGTAAGTGATTTGGCAGGGTCCTCCCCAACTGCAGAAGAGAAACCACAAACCAAACTTAATGTCTATATTACAGTACAGAACACACCATGTTATGTAGCCTGTTTAGAGATGTCAGTCTTTCAAGAGTTTCCTGTTTTATTGACCTCTTCTGGTTCAGTTTGTTGCAACATGTTCTGACAAAAGATCACTTTCAAATTTCTATTTTCCAGCATTAACATCTGTGGTTGGTCCAGAATAACATTTTTCCAGGTGTATTGCTCAATTGACACCTTGTGCCTACTATTTTACATAAGAGCACATTCACTAAAACTGACAAGAAACTTATTACAGCAATGTCTGGATTCATACAAAAAGAAGTCCAGACATTATTCAGATGCATACAAATAGTCATTGTTGTACAGACTGGTCTGCTGTAGAGGCAAAATGTTAACTTTAAAATGAATCAGGGTACCTGTGATAGGGTGCACTGGTATACTGTAGAGTGAATCGTGCCGTATAACTGAAGAGTACTATACTATACTGGTCCACTACAGCTGATCCATAGCTTGGAATGATGAATAGAAAGTACTGATTATTTGTGAAGGAGCAAGTTTTCACCTGCAAGTGTTAAAATACCCTTAGTGGACATGTGATCTGCTGTGCATACTCATGTTTCCATCGTATGCATTCCTGAAATATGCTTCACTATCATTTCAGCTGACACTCCGAGAGAGCGAAGAGAAGTTTCAATTTATGTACAGTACTTTGTGGAACACGATTTTTTTAAACCACAGATTACCACATTTCAAACCATAACCACATGTTTGTAGAAGACGAGCATCACCATTTAACGATTCATGTTTCAGTTGGATTAATACATACAAGTTAAAGACTGGACACCACAACATCATAATAACCATAAAGACGAATAATTCAAAAATAATGACAATAACCTTAAGGAACATGAAAGTGATGACACATTCACAGGATGAGTGAGCAGTCAGGCATGTATCACTGCTTATTTCTGTAGATTAAACAGTATGTGAAATTACATGCATTAGTGCTTATATACTATTGCAGGTACTGAAGTATTGTGTTTTGCTTTGGCATAAGGTCACACAACAATATAACCACAATCAAAACTGTGCTTTCTAATACTTCTTTCTTTTTATATTTTTGGGACGTTTTCACATAATCACATTTGTCCTCACTGTGACCAATGTAAACAGAGAGTTGAACATCCAGTGCTATATACATGCAAAACACACTCAGTCAAAATCTGTCTCTTAAATGCAAAATACTTACTTTTTTTTTTTTCTTTTCTTTTTTTTTTTACATAGTTTATCAAAGTCTTCACAAATGACACATATTGGAGTTGACATGAAAATGAAAAAACTACACCAATGGAAATAGAAAAATTCAATGTGCAGACTGAATCTGTCAGTCCTGGCTTTTACTAATGCTTTGGCGTGCAAACAGTGTTATTTTTTTGAATGATATTGTTTAACTACATCAGCAGCCAGAACATGACAACAGCCAGTTAAGGAGTCACTTGCAGCACTGAGCACCATTGAAAGCCTTATGCAACACCAATTACTTCATGCAGGTGAATATGACACGAAAAAGGTGATGAAGGACAAGACTAGTGGAGGTTTTTATAGCAAGCTACTGCAACAAACTACTGACTCTTGTTTTTTCCTTTTTCCTCTTTTTTCCCCTGAAACCATGTTTGGGTCAAACATTTACTTAAACTTATTGAAACTTCTTTTTTTTACCAAAACCTTGTAATGGCAGATTGAAAAATATGGGAGTTTTGTCCCAGTGTGCAGTTATTACAGTGTTTAACCTACATATATTGTATATTTAGTAGGGGAACTCCCATACTCCCACCTGAATTTGTATGACTTTTTTATAATTATGAGGGTACGATTAGTATTCTACGATAAACTCTGAACATGTTTTCTGAAGCATTTTACTTTTCTAACAGATAAAATACAGTTCGACGTGTTATACCACACCGACTCTGAGATGTCGATCAATATGCTGCTATGTCTCATGGTTTCTTTAGCTCAAAGTCTATCTATTTGTCTGTATGTATTGTTTTACACACCTTGAGAGGCGAACAGCCAAACCACACAAATCTCCTGGTGCACGATGTGAGACTATAGAAGTTCAACAAGCCTGGTTGTGATAAATATAAATTTACAAAAAAAAAAACAAGAGGAATATTCCGGGTGTTGTTCGTCTAAGATGTACCTCTTCTGTATCCTACTGAAAACTATTTTTGTTCATGGATCAGATAAGTTGTGTTGGTGGTATTTCTTCTATTAGCCGGCATGGTAAAGACATCTGACTACCACTGTTTCAGCACTACAGCTCTGTGCCAAAACTAAACAAGTAATGGTTTTAATTAAAGTTATATCAAATTCCTGCAAGTTTCAACAAGTTAAACACTTTGTCAAGACCATAATGAATTAAGTTTAAACCTGAGTCAAGTACGACATACATGAAGGAATAAATGTCAAATTATCTCAAAAACTACAGTCAGAGACAGTAGGTCTCCATATCCATAGTCTTTGCCAAAGCCAAGTGTTGGTAAACTGTCAGCTATAAACTCCCTGTTGGTCTTGTTTTTAGTTTTATTAGAGCTTGACATAGAGACAGAAACTCTGATAAATGATCAACTTTCTGTTCTTTAAAGTTTCTGTTATTATTAGAGACCTTCACTATTGAGATTTTTTATTTCAAAGTCATGAGAAACCTTAAAAATATTAGATGCCTATCTATTTTAGAAGGTGGGAGTCAGGTTCCCTACACAACTGTACCAATCACTAAAACTATCTAAACTCTGTTTTGCTATTCTTTTGGAGAACACTTCTATTCAGAGCAACCCACAGTGCTGGAGTTTATGTGTTTTAAGTTATTAAAACTATCCAGCACCAATCAACGTGAGCCTGAGCATAACAAATCAGTAGGTAGCTTGTTGTGAACAGGAGCTTGCTGGTAAGATGTTTTGACACCCATGAGTACCCAACTTTTACCTTCATCAATGTACCATGTGCTTTTGGATTTGGACTGGGCTGGGGGGTCAACAGAGCTGCCATTTAAAGTATAGTAAAATTCAGACTTGCTCCTACTGCCACACTGATGACCTAATCCTGTAAATCACACAAGTACAAATACAAAAGATACAGATAAGGAAAATGTGTATGCGGCTGCCAGTGTGTGCACGTGTGTGGGAGTATGTTATTGTGACAGTTTCCACAGCAGAACAAGTGGAGATTCAAAAATTGTAGAAAACCCAAAAAAAAACATTTTAAAACCAGCTCCAGAGAAAGAGCTGTGAGAAAAGAAAACAATCACACCTCTACATTCAAATCAAATCTCTTTGGCTGAAACATGAATTTGTTTTGCGTAACAAACAGTAGAAAAGCACATGTTCTTTATTTTGCTTGTCTGACATTGTATATTTTCTATAATTTTAAGAGTACTCTTTGTGAAAATATGATGGAATATTAGGGCCATATTGAAGAGAAATAAAAGAGTTTTCGAGAATAGCGTCGTAATATTACGAGAATCAAGTTGTAATTTAACAAGGAAAAAAGTCATAATATTTTGAGACTTGAGTTGTAATTTAACAAGTAAAAAGTTTAACAAGAATAAAGAAAAATCATGTTTTAGGAAATAAGCCTGACCTTTTTGGATCCAAAATGTTGAACCAATCTCATTGTTTCTTGAGAAACTACAAAGAACCTCTTTGAAGAACACACAGATGTAACAAAGGCTCACAGTCGACCACTACCAAACATTTCCTCCTCCACAAAAGAGGCAATTTCCTCCAAGTCTGTTTGATTCTTTCTTCAGAATAGACTTAGTTTCTTGCACAACTTTTTCAAAATCCTGATACTTATGATAATGTGACGACGCGCCAAAAGATAAAGTATTTTGTCATTTGTAAAACCTAAACTAAAGTATAACATTTTAACTAAGGCAACAAGCTGATCTTCTAATATTCCCCCTTTAACAGGACACACAGTCTAAAATTACGACTTTACTCTCAAAAATGTACAACCTTTTTCCCTGTAATATTATGACCTGATTCTCATGATAATACATATAACACTTCAGATTCATAATTTGAACTCTTAAAAAAAACTTTTAAAAGGTAAAAAAAAAGGTTTGACGCAATATTATACAGAATGCAGAATCACAACCAGACAACTTGTTAGAATGCCCCTTTATGAGTTATTACACCAAACTGTGTAGTGCAGTACCTTTGCTCTTTGGTTTGCTTTGGCCAGAGGACGACTTGTCACTGTTGGTGCCTCTGGGGGCAAAACTGTGCTTTGGCAGCCTTTGGTCCTGCATGGAATATTCTGTATGGCCCAGAAATACACACAGATTAGACAGACAACAATAATTTTAACACAACTTTATAAATGAAGTTTTCTTACCACAAAGAACAACTTTAACTGTCAAGAATCACACATTAAGAACCAATGAAAAACAAATAATCTCTGGGAGGTAGATTTTAAAGCAGCTCTACTTAGTGACACTATGTACAACCCATCTACAAAGTGAAAAAGGAAGGGTTTCACAGAGAGATGACAAATTTTCAAAATTGACAATAGTTAGAGAGGCGGCACCAGCACACATAAACATATCAATTCGTCAATGTGGAGAACAAAGAGCCTGAGTATCTCACTTGACTTTCAAAAACAAGTGAGCCATCAACACAAAAGGCTCTCTGTTCCCACTGTGAGCAAAACACAAACTCAGAATGCTCCGAAGGAGCTTAGTGTTGGTCAGAGAGCTGGACGGCTGAATATTTTCAGTAAACGCTGAGGGATTGATAGCACACACACGGCACAAAAGCAGGGACAAATACTAAGTGACTCACCTGGCATTACGTCACAGATGGGGACAAGACGAGTGTGTTCCAAACTGGCAAAATTACACAGCAGCTTCCCGTCAATCACACCATCCCAGTCTCCAATAGGATTGTCCTGTAAGAGTTGGAGACATGAGAACCTCAAAACCCTTTCAGATGCTCTTCATCTCTGTAAAACAACCTGGTGCAGCACGTGCTTCTTCCCCTTGTATCTTCCTGGTGGTTGATCGGGTCTGTTGTCTTATCGCTCCATCTAAAAATAATGCTTAAGCTTGATCCTCTGTATTGTGATGATCCATCAGCCCATCTCATCGTCTCCACAAAAACAACAGATCATCCACCTCAAGTCCTACCAACTAAAAACGCAATGTTTTTTCTCCACGAGCACAGCCACACTATTCCTCTTTAGTTTGAAATCCAGGATTCTTCTCCAGCGGGATAGTCTAAGAAAAGCGTGAGGCCAGTGCCACCTGCTAAAGGAGGCAGGGCGAGGCTGGACGCAGAGTGAGGCAGAGCAGTGGGCTCTCCTCAGCTGCCTGCTGGCCCTTTGCCACGCTGTTGGGTCATACAGCACTAAGTCTTTACCTCACTCCCCGCGTGACTGCCTAGCCTTTGTGTGGGTGGCTCAGATGCACTAAGTGGGCTGCTGCCGCTGCTGCTGCCGCTGCTGTTGGTGCTGCTACTAACGATCAGCAGTCAAATGCCTCAGTTATGTGTTTCAATCTCTCTATGACTACAATACCACTCCCGCCTGACAACAGTAGTCATAGATACCAGCTACTATGATCCAGAGCAACAAGACATGTTGCCTAAACTTGCTGAAAATGATCAAAATAAAGGAAAAACTAAACCACAGAAAATCTGGCATACATGCTAACTCCAATAATTTGAATCATCAAAGATGACATTCAGTATTCTGCACTGACACAAAGATATGATAAATAATGTTTTAACTACTAATAAGTGAAGGGAGAGCATCAAAGAATCTTTGTTATGTCCCCTAACTCCATCGTTAATTACTATTTAGCTGGATTTTATAGTGAGGGTGATGGAATTAAACACTAAAGAAGGGATGGGTGGGAAAGTGCTCTGTAGATTTTACAATATTGGAGCAAGTTTCCCCATTCTTTTTTCATTTCCTTTATACATTTGGGATTTAACACTTTTTTTGCAATGTCAGCCTTCTAAAGCAATGATGCTCCATGGTAGAGAGTAGATACTACTACAACAACAAAAAATGTTGTCATGCATCATGACCCTGCATATGACATACATTTCTGACTCATGGGCAAAATGATACTTTGGAAAAGGACATATGTTAAATGCCAGGGACCAACAATGAACTGGAGAAGGAACATTTGGAAAAATCAATATTTGCTTTTTGCTTCTTTTGAACATTACTTACCAGTTGTATGTACTTTGTTTAATCAATACAACAAATCACTGACTTAACTATTTCTTGGTCAGTATCAGTTGCCAGGCAAATAGTCGAAGAAGTTACTAATCCCTACCAAAATCAGTGCACCACATAACCACGACTATAAAAATTAAAACTGTCGTTTTTGCATTCCAGATTTTTGTGCAGCCCAAGCAAACAATATGAAACATGATCATTAGTGAGCTCCAGATGTTACCATAAGCAAGCTGTTTCCCCATATTTTCAGGCTCTCTGCTGGGTTAGCCAGCTGCTGGTAGCAGCTTCATACTTCTCAGAGATATAAATGTGGTATTGATCTTCTTTGCTAAAACTTTCATTAAGTGCAAAACTGTTTCTATTAGGGAACAAGTCATGATGTCAGCACAGATATGACTGAGTCCAACTAAACTGTTTATTATCTTGTATTTGACCAAATACATGTTTAGTCTGCACCATGTCAGATAATTATAAAAGAGAAGCATCATGGATAACCCAGATCCCACAGAGATCAAACAGATTGTTTTGACTGAGCAGAAGTTCAAGATCGCTGTCATATTTAAAGTGATGATTTTATGAAACAGAAAAGCAGCACATCAAACTCGAAAAGCAGGAAACATTCTCGATCTTAAATGATGTCTGTCAATAGATTAATCCATTCACTTTACCAACAATTTTACAGTCTGTTATTGCATCTGTCAATTGTGGGAACAATAAAATGACCTACTGGATGTAGACGGAGCCTCACTTACCATGTCAACTCCTACATAGTAGCCCAGGCTCTCATTTCCTGGCAGCAGGTCATAAAAAATTATTGTGCCTCTCTCGGGTCCATCCCTGGTCTGCACCAGGACCCTGGAGTTAATCTCCAGTGGAGGGAAGTCCTGGTCCTCTTCTACTAGATTGACATGGTCCACCTCTAGCTCGCCTGTGCCATCATCATCATCCTCCCAGAGTTCAAGCTTGTCCAGGGCCACAAAAACACCGCATTCATCCTCACAGCGGAAGAGTTGGCGGCCCTGGTAGGAGCCCTCCGTGAAACCTTGGCCCCGGCCCTCCTCCTGGAAGAGGGAAGTGAGGAGAGTGAAGCAGAGCAGGTGCAAAAGATGTTCAACCTATTGTCATAAAAAGGAGAGCAGGTAGCAAGGCTGCTTGCTCAGCATTTCACAGTGAATGGATGTCGACATCATGGAGCTGTGAGAGCATGTGATCGATTGCTGCAGCAGGAATACAACTTGACTTACTGTGATGATAAATACATTAAAAACTCTAGCATGGTACAAGATGTTCTCATGACCCTTACTGTTACATATTGTGCTCCTGAGCAATTTAGATAATAAAAAGTCCCTTATATGTGCTGGCATTTAGAACATAACTAAAGAACACAGTGATCTCTATTTAGAAAGAAGGCATGAAATCAGAATTTGGTCTAATGCTTATGTGCAAGCTCCAGTTTGAATGCCTGAGCTCCATCAGCCCACTCAAGACGACTACAGCCAGGCTCAGAAGAATAAAAACAACATTGTGCTGCAATAAGAAACCCTTTGTATTTTGTGACTTGCTGTATATATGGCACAGAATGAATGGCGTGACATTAAATAATCAAATGTTGAGGTTAAAGAAACACAAAAATGTAAATATTGTCATCATCTGCTTACACTTTTGTCAGTAAAACACTGCAGCCTTGTTTCCGTATTCACATTATATTTGACGCCTTTACAATGTGAAAAAGTGCAGAAACTTACTTTAAAAGATACATTTGTAGAATATCCCAATAAATATGAAGCCAAGTAACCAATACTATAATAGAGATTCCTCACTATGTATATAGTATTGTATATGTTTTATATTGAGCTCATTTTATTTAAATGTATTGTAGTTTTAAAAAGTCTCACTCACTTTATACTCTTATTGTCAAGCTAAGCTGTCCTCTTGTCTTACACTTTACATTGTGCTGTTGGAGCTTTAACTTACTTACTTCACAATTCAAAACCCTAACCCACAAAGTGTATGTGATGCAAACATAGTCAAGATAAGGGATTCTCACTGTGAAACCAACAAATGTGAATATTAACATTTTCATTCTACCTCAGCAGAAAGGTTCTTGATGAACACATTTGGAAATACTTTTTCCTTCAATAAGCGGATTAGGGCATAATTACGAAAATGTTACTTGGGTCACGCAAAATCCCCTATTTTCAGAAAGCTCTCAAAAAACAAGCTGTTCGTTTTGTTTTGGACAAGACATAAAGTGTGACAGGCTAGTTATTGACGTCCAGTTTTGCAATCTCTGACTCATGCCATTCATTTAGTTTGGGTTTCACATCTGTACTTGCTGTTTTGAATCTGTGGTTATAATAGAAGTTAAAGGTAGTGTGTGGGATTTAGTTGAAAGGGATCTGTTGGAAGAAACTGATTACTCAATAATCCTAGTGATGTATTCACTAGTGTGTTATCATCTAAATTGTACTCTTTCTTTACCCTAGAATAGGCCCTTTACATTTAAATACTTTAAATACCTCTCTATGCCATGTTTTTTTACATTGGTTCTTTACAGTAGTAATTTGTCTTTTTGAAACTTTGCTCTTAAAAACCTCTACACTGGAGTTAATATCTCTATTATGGAGAGAATTCATCATGAACAATGAACATCGTAAACACAAGATAAACATCTACTACTTGGAGAAAGACTAAAACAAAACTTCTCACCAGCAACTCGACTCCAAACCAGATTCCAGAGAGGGCCCTGTCAGGGAGCAGCGAGCCCTTGAAGCGGACCACACCAGGCAGAGGTTCATCTCCTGAGCGCAACTGGACGCGCACTTTGGAACCACAGTCAATATCACAGCAGCGTGCTAGTCGAGAGTTGTTACAGAGCAGGGCGTATCTCTCCTCACAGTTTGTAATGGGGAACAGCAGCTCAGCCAGCTTCTCGTCCAGCTCCTGCACATCCCGCTCGTCCAGGCTCAGCACCACGTTGGTCTGGTCCAGAATGCGGAGGCTTTTCTTGCCTTTGCATGGGGGCAGTGTTCGGCCCAGGCTGTTGCGCTCCTGGCATGCTTGGCCAAGACTGCCGCGGGGGATCCGCAGGGTCTTCTGGGGAGGTTTCTCCACCGTACACTCCTTCACGACCATGTAGAAGCGCCAGTCCTCCCTGAAGCCCCCGCTGGGCTTCTCCTGGCTCCACAGGACAGAGCTCATGGCTGCATGCTAAGCAAGAGGTCCAACATCAAGGCAAGCTTGACCTGCGATCTGTGGTAAAAAAAAATAACAAACATAACCATCTCTATAAAGCTTAATGCTAGGAGATCAATAGAGAAATGTAACCAAAATAATAAAGCAAGATTGGCTAGCTGAACATTTTTTTATGGTTATCTTTTGGAATATGAAATATTTTTGAATCTGAATATAAATCAGTCAAGACACATCCAATCCTTCAATATCAATTTATTATCTATACCGCTCATCCTCTGAGGGTCGCAGGGTTAGCTGGGGACAATCCAAGCTGACTTTACAGGCATGATACAGGCAGGAGATGTCGCCAGTGTATCCCAGGGCTAACATACAGACAGAGACAAACAACCACTCACACATGTAAACACCTACAAAAAATTTAGAGTCTCCAATTAACCCATATGTCTTTGGACTGAGGGAGGAAGCCAGAGTACCTGGAGAAAATGTCAAAAGTAACAACCATTCCACCCTGATTTTCCGCTGTGTTTCTTCAATCAGTTATGAGACAAACCCAACTGCCCACATAACATATAACTATATATAATATATATATATCCCTGTGTGTTTTTGTCTAGACCGCTGTAGCACTCTGTGGTGAAGCGTTAACCTAACTAAAGTAGAAGTGCAACAATAGATAGAACAAGGCACAAGTAACATTTGAAATATAGTATTACTGTAACTATAAATGCAATGCTTTTCTCGCGTAGTATTTATGTGTAAAACTGCATATCTCATATATGAGCACAGACTGAAAACAAGTACGAATATTTCTTTTGTTTAAAAGCAGACAGGAAACAGTTTCATCAATCATTCGACAGATGTCTGACAAGCCAAGACAAGACAAGGTGAAATGAGGAACTATTACCTATGACTGAACAAGATGCAGGATGATGATACAATATGACATGACAGTGTTAACTGCATTACGGTGAAGAATAACGAATAATGAAAAGGGGGGCACTTCAGGTAAAATACAGAATCAATGGAATAGATCCTTATACATACTGTCATGGGAGACATTACTATTAATCTCCAGTACAGTTTGCCTGTTGCGGGTACTGTGGTTTTTTCAGTGTCTTATTTTATATTCTAAACATTGGGGATGAGCAGATGGCTGAATGTCTGTGACACACACACACACACAAAGAGAGAGACAAATGGGAGACGAACGGGTTTCCCCCGATGACACCTCAGATATGATGATCAACCACCTGACAGCCAAGAACTCACACCGTCCGTCATTTGTTTCAAACATGACAACAGAAGCTGGTTAACCTGGCTGTCTATCTATCATCAGCGCGATCATCACTCGTGGCTAACGACGAGGACGAGCAGGGCATTGAAAAGAGATCTCCACCTGACCCGGGCTAACGCTCACCTCATTACCATGATTTAGCTCGGTGTTCGAGGTGATGAACACGCTAACGTGGTTACAGTTTCATGAATTCCTCCGTCAGCATCACTGACAGCGACATCATGCCTCGTTTTCGTGAACATTTTCCCTGACAACCAGAGCAGCGGTGTGTCATCACCGGGCAGGAGCTGTCAGTCAGAGGCCCTCTGAGAGAGGGAAGTAGCTACCGCACCGTGACATTAACACACAGCAATACACACCAATGCTCACGTGCCTCTTACCTGAGATACACCTCACTGCGGGGAGAGGCTGCAGCCAAGTGTCATTTCAAATATCCCCCGGTCAGATACAGGCCTCTGGAAACAAGCTCCCGTAAAGCCAGTTAACCTCTGATTAGCTCAATGGCTAGCTAATGCTAGCGCCCTGGCCAGCTAACTATCAGGCTGAGGTGTGCCCGGCGAGGTGGTCGACAGCGGGCAGGCTGCCAGTGGACTGCCCCCCTCCACAGGGTGCTAACAGCATGAGATAAAGCTGCTCTCCGCGGGGAATAGGTGGAATAATACCTCAGTGCACCGCTACAGCTAACAGATGTATTATTTACAGGAGACCACCGCACTAACCTGACTGCCTGACGTCATGGCACGCGCTCACAGCCATTGGTCGTGCGCTCGTATCTCGGGCGCTGATTGGCTGTTTTATACGTCTGTAGGAAGGTCCCGCTCTGTGGGGTTTTCCCATGGAAGGAAGGAGATGTAGTTCGGTTGCAGTGTGGGCAGATGAGGGCAAATAACACTGCTGCTTCTGGCTCTCTGGTATTTATCCATTGAGTTTATTTATGGATAAACTGTGAAATATCAAGCCTCAATTACATTTTTTGTTCGAAAGCATTCAAATTGCAAATTTCAAAATATCATTCCATTGCAAATTTCAAAATACCATATATATCAGCCGATGTATCAGTATTGGATATTTTTTACTCCCTAGTATCCGTATTGGCAACTGCAAAAAATCCATTGTGGTCCATAGTTATAACGCTAATAAATATATCACAATGAAGATGCCAAACAATATTTCTCTCTAGTGGATGACAAATATAAATTAGCATAAAATTGAACATTTAATTGATAACAATATTAGTAGTGATAGTGGTGAAGGTGGTGGTGATGATATGCAACATTTGATCACCTGCATAGAGGTATGGGAATATAAAGTATTTTGTATACTCAGATAAAGAGAAAAGACAAACATTTAGATTTGAAAACATAAGATGTACTTTAACAAACAAGTTTCACATTACATATTTGAATAGAACAAGTTCCTATGATAAATAAATACACAAGCAATACACAGTCCCCTTTCAACTTAATGCAAAATCAGAAAACCAGTCTCGATTCACGTTTTGTCATCTCCTCCTCCTCCTCCGAACTAAGGTCATTGTTTCTCAACCTGCAAAAAGGAAAAAGCAACATTAGTCATTAACAATGCAGCGTTAGTTTGGAATGACAAAGGAAGATGTGACCAAAATAACTTTCTCTTTGTTCCAGAATAGGATGCAATGTTTACAGCAACAGTTTTTCATAGCACTTAAAATTATCAGCACAATCATGCATTGCCCCAAAAAAAGCAGGATGTAAACAACCGCTACATACATCAACTAACCACAAAAAACAGTGGCAACCTTTGTATTTGTGAGGGCATGGCTCAATATATATACATCACATACCATATTGATTTCACATGTGTATTGTGTTCCAGGGCTTGAACCAGACTTTCCACTCCTGTTTTGGTTATGCAGTTTTCTGTCAGCCTTTTACAGGAAATGAAAGGGTGGGGCAGTATAAGCACGACTGTACAGTGAGCACTTGAATGTCAGATCAGACATAGGGTGAATACAAATGTCTGGTTGCCTCTGATTCTTACCAAAGCTCTTCCAGTGACGAGCTGTTCTTGATAATGTTGGCGAGGGCACAGGCTCCTGCATTCCCTACACCATTACCTACCAGGCTGAGATGACATAAAGTGAATTTTATATTAAAGTAGTGTGTAGCGACAGGACAATGAATTGCAGATAAGCAAAACCAGCAGAGATTTATATCATGCAACTACCAGAAACATTTTGTACAACTGATATACATTTTTGGTCATAATGCACTTGTGGTCATAACACATAAGGGCAGCATAGTTAAATACCTTTATTATCTCGGCCAAGAGGTTATGTTTTCCTTTTAGCAGGATTAGAACTACACAACTGATTTCCATAAAGCTTTGTGGAGGGGTGGGGCAAGACCCATGAAAGACCCAGTTAAATTTTGGTGCTGATCCGGATCATGAATTTGTTTTTCATTATCTTAAACGTTAAGAGATCGGGCATATTTCTAAATTTTCATTGATTTGTCAGAGAATAATTTATGGATCTTGATGAACATTATTTATTATATTTATCCTTGTGTTATTTAATGGCGATGAAATAAAAATCAAGATGTCTTAATGTGGTTTTATGAGAGGACTTTTGGAGAGGACTTTTGGGCCTTGGCGGAGATTTGCACTCTACTGAGTGTTATTCTAGTATTTTTAATACATTTTCCACACCATCTTAATTCAAATAATATTTAAAGCAGTGTGCCAATAAGTGAAGCAAATATTACCTAAACCAAGTCAGAGATTGACTATTCTCTAGTGCTCTCGCCATGGCCTCTGCTCCTGCATCACCTATCTTATTGCCCCAAAGCCTGGGAATAGAAGAAAGAATAGTAAATGGAAATGCATCACCAATAAGATCATTTTTGTCAAGGATGATTTCAGGATTATTTTTACCCTAAAAACTTGAGTGAATGATTGACTTCCAGCCCCTCTGCAAGCTGCTTTGCTCCTTCTGCTGTTATATTGTTGTTACCCAGCCTGAAAGAAAATGTTCATTTGCTTATATTTTCATACTACACAGATTGCATTATTAGGGTAGATTCACACAAGGGCCACATGTAATGACTGTTGAAAACACTTTATGTGCTGACCTTAGAGAGAGGAAATCCTGCTTGGTCTTTAGAAGAAGAGAAAAGTGCTGAGTGCAGGCATCAGTTAGGTTGTTGTTGAAGAGCCTGGTGAAAAAAAATGTTTATGGAAGGTAATTGGAAGGAATTGATCAAATGTCATTGGTAATTTCATGGTGGTCTTATAAATCAGTACATACGCAATTTTCTTGAAGTTTTCACACCGGATAACTTTAGCGATCAGTTTGCTGATGCCCTGATCAGTGATGTTGTTATTTCTGAGGCTGATGAAGAAAAAATAAATGACACTCAAGCTTAGTATTCATTTTCAGCTTTGTTGCCCTCAGTGAAGTAGGGAGAGCTTGTTAATGAAAATTTGTTTTTTACAGCTAAATAAATGACCAAATCATCTGTAATTTCATACTCACTACAGGGAATTACAAATGTGCATGCAGGGAAGAAGCTGCTCCACTCCAACATCACCTACAGAGTTGTTGTCCAGCTGGAGGCCGACAGGGTTCCTTAAGTGCTGGAGCACATAGGCCAGTGCAGTGCACTCTACCGGACCAATGTTACAGTAGGTCAGTTTCAGGTGGTCCACATCCAGCTTACTGATAGCATCTTTGGCAATTCTGCTCTCCTGCATCTCATAGATGCATTTGATAAGCCAGACAAAGCCCGGCATGGCGTGCATGCTCTTTTTCTCCCCAGCTACAGGTGGAGGGATAGACTTAAAGTGTTTTTGCATGCCTTTGGACAGGCACCGAGAAACCTGTTTGATCTTTTTTTCAATCATATCACTGAGGCAGCAGTGGATCCATAGGCTTCGATGGCGATGGGACAGTAGTCCAGACACAAAGGTGGCTGTGATTTGAAGATTTGGTCTTTCAGCTGCTGAAGTTTCTGTCCCTTGAGTCTGCTCTTGTTGGTCATTGCGCAAGCAGGCCCCGAAGCATTTGCCCCTCTGACTCGTCTCTCTTACTTCCTGCAACTCGAAGAGCTTGAGGATAGTCGCACGTTCAGTGTTACTTGACAAAACAATGTACAGAGCAGCAAAGAAACACTGCATTGTCACATGAAGGAATTCATAGTGTTTACTGTTGGCGGAGGACATATCTTTGCTTTGAATGAGAAAGCCCATACATATATCCTTTTCAGTCACACCACATGTCTTCAGATCTGTACATGAGAAGATATAACAGGTGGTTCCTATCCCATCAAACGCAAGCTGTCCTAGATTCAAGACTGTTTTTAGGTGCTCCTGAAGCCAACCTAACCCCATGGTGTTCTCCAGGGTGCTTCGGCGCTGTAAAAAGTGCTGCAAGATCATCATGTAAATGTCTGTGATTGTTTGTAAACTGCCCTCTCCGCAGCCCAGCAACTCCTTATGGCACTGTGACACAATCCAGCAGAGAACTGGACTATGACATAGTCCAAGTAAAGCTGTGTTTGTCTGCAGGGACTCCAAAACCTTAGCAGCCACTGTTGGGTCACTGTGATGCTTCTTAACAAAACAATGAATCCCACTCGGGGAAAAACCTTTCAGGAAGACTTCTTTGCGAAGGTGTTTTCTCAGCAAAGGCCCCACTACATCTGGACGACTAGATACCACTTTCCACACCCCCTTCATTAGTGAACCTTGGATTAGGTTGAATAATAGTATGTGAACAGGTGCACGCTGGGTGGGGCAGCAGAGCCTGTGCTCGTCTGAAAAGCTCTGTTTGAGCTCATCCAGGCCATCGAAAGTGAAGAGGATGAGATGTGGGTGATCCAGGATGAATTGGAAAATCTCCTCCTGCTTCCTGTCTGGCCAGCAGCAATGCTGAAACAGCAGCTCTTGGACAGACAGTTCCCGGTGCTCCGAGTTCAACCTGCGACAACTGAATGGGAACAGAAGCAGGAAGTGCTGGAAGGCTGCCCCACGAGCCCAGAGCAAGTGCAGCCTCTGGAGTAGGGTGCTCTTCCCACAGCCCGCCTCACCAGACACCAGCACCGTGTCAGCCTCCTCATTCACTGTACCCACTGCACCAATTATGTGCTCTAGGCCCAAAGGTCCATGTGTATCAGGACAGTCATGAGCTAATTCCAGCTGGCCTTCAGTGTAGATGTCATCCAAGGACATGTGGCTGGTCCCTCCATAAGTACTGAGAAAACAGGACTGGGCAGACACAGAACTGCTCAGCTTCTTCTGGTACTTTAACAGCTCTGTAGAAAAAAGTCCACACATAAGATGAACTTCAAAAATGCAACAGGTCTTTTCACATTTCTGAAAGAGTCATTTCTATTTTTAAAAGCCACCACTGCTGTCTACATAATTACATTGCGKAATAGTTTTCAACATGCTTATGATAATGACCTACCTTTTGGTGGTGTCAGTTGCTCTTGGGTCAGTGAGGCTCCAGATCCCTGCTGCTGAATATAATGCAGTACCACCTTTGCCGCTGACTCACCCACTGATCTGACATGATCAAGCAAACATCTTGCCTGATTGACATATGAATGACAACAGGCCTATTATTAAAATGTTTCTTTGTTCCTCAAAATTACATATTCTCAACATTGTCATTAAAAATTCCCCTCGTGACCTTAAATAGTTTTAAAAGTAACTGTACTCCTTCCTTACACATTTTGTGATTTACATCTATGAATATGCTATTTCCCGTCACTTCTCCTGCAGCTGATCCCTAACCCTAACCTGCCCACCAGAAGACAGAATTGGTTTCTTGGGTTTGTGGCATCACATAAAAGGGGGGCTTAAATAAAAAACTTGTTTTTCACCAGAGGGTGACCTTAAGCTAGCATCCATGACATGAAGACAGGAAACACTGGTGAACAGTTAGCCTGGATCTGTGTGAAGGTATCATAGTTGGTCCATGAGCAACTCTAAAAGTCACTCACTAGAGCCTGACTAGCTGTTTCCTAATGTAGTCTATCTCTGTGGAAAGCTAAGCTGCTGGTACTAGCTTCATATTAGCCTAACTAACTGTGTTGTCTTAAAAGCATACACTGTCGCGTTATAGTAAAACTTGGGAATTGTACAAGTTTAAAAAAATACAGATGCAAATACAAACAATCATCAATCGGATGTTTGTTTGTTTTTTACATGTAATTTAGCATTTAAGGCAATTAATCCTCAGCGCATCCTGTAGAAAATCAATAATAGCCCATCATATTAATTTACGGATAAACACGTTATTTTGTGGTTAGTATTTTTAATAAAGGTTATTTATAATATGGCATTTACAAAAAACTAAAATGATACACACAATTTCAGTGAAATCACTTTTTTTACAGCAATAGCTCACAGAAAAAAGCTGAAAGAGTGCATTTCCTGAGATGAGTACTGGTTATAATGCACTTCATGTTGGTACAGTAAGCAAACCAGCAATGTGGTAACCATAAATGCAGGAATTTGTCTGCGTTGTTATTTTCTCAACAACCACTCAGTTTGAGGCTACTTTGTGGGCGGTTTACTGAGGACACGAGGAAGTGAAGCATCGACAGTGACCTCTCGACTGTTCGTTCCATTAAAATGTACCAAGTTGTCAAAAAAAAAAATGATAACAGGACATTGTTATATATTCACTGTACCTGCTGAGAGGGGGTGTGTATAGGAAGCCGTATGTCATCACAGTCTTCTGAGGTGAAGTTTCCTGACACAGTCAGAGCCTCTAGAGCACCATCAATGCAGTCTTGTAGCTTGCCGATGAGGCTCGGCCTACGAATCAAAAGAGTTTGGGTCGCTGTGCTCTGACATGCTCCTTTCTTTTCGAGATCTAAACAGCCTCCTGAGGAGGAGAATGCTGCCCCCTGCTCTTCTGGCACAACCTTTTTGAGAGCTGTGAGGAAAATTTCACAGGTATCCACACCCTTCGTGTAAACCAGGTCAAGCAAGTGTCTGGCATTGGTATACAGTGCTCTACCTGGTACTTGTATGTTCTGGTATTCCTCCCATACAAGCTCCCCCTGGGCCAACAGTAGATCCAGAACTCTTTCCAGACGTTCTGCTGAGCCACTGCTGCACAGTGCATGCAGTATCTCTGTCCGTTGTTTCAGCACAAGTTCCTGGGCAAACATGCTTGTGACTGCCTGCTTCCATTTCTAAAGATGTCCAACAAGAACATCTGCTGCTTCCAGTATCACAACCTATCACATGTCATCTTGTTCCTACCTTTCCTCCCGAGTTTCATTCATTTTGTACCTGGACATAAAATACAGCAGAATCAGTATTCTTAACACCATATCTTGTTGTTGGTTCATTCACTTAGTTACTCACTAAATTACTCACATTAGAGTTTTCACAGCGCAAAGCTTCCAGTCCCACCATCTGTCCTTTAGGCACTGAATGTAAGGCTTTTCCTCTTCCTCATTCCACAACTGAAAGCGAAACTTGTACTGCGACAAATGTCCCTTTTGTTAAAGTGAAACTAAATTGATGCCTGCAAATGAAATACACTTTCAAGACCAACTGGACACATGCATGCATGTGGACATCACAATACAGGGATTCAGTCTCATCTCTTCAAAATAGAAAAGCTCTTATGTTGACAAGAAACACCACCACAAATACATTGGATGGAAAAATGTTCACGTCAGTAGCTCTGTGTTGGTTGCAATTTGCTCATGCAACCACTTGATGGAACTATAACATAATATATCTTTGTAAAATTACATAAACAGTTAGTTGTTTTACAAGGATGATAAAATCTGAAAATATAATCATATTGTTGTGATAGTAATTCTACTGTGTTACAATTAATTATATTGTTGAACCAAGACAACCTAGACAATATGCTGTGTAACTGATGTAAACTTCAAACTGTGGATACTGTATATCCACCCGCCAATGCTGAGTGGTTTATAACTGTAAGAACTATTTACACAAAGGGATGAATTACATATACGCCCAGATTACAGAGGGAAATGCTTATTGAAAGGTAGATACCACTAATGGAAGCAAAAGAAGAATGATGGGATTGATAACTGAAACTAATGAGGAGCTGGAATGTGACAGCATAAGTTAGTTGAATAAGACTTATGGACACATATTTTCATCTATGTGAGGGAAACTGAAATTTAACCCATGTTTATTTTAATTTAATCTTTAATTTAATGTAGTTTATTATGCTGTTTATGTTCAGGGTTGGTATTAATTTTAATTTGTTTGGATACAGAACTTCATGTCAAATTCTTTGGAAAGAAAGGGGGGGAAAGAATTAACCATCCATGAATTATCTATACTAATTATACTTTGAGGGTTGCAGTGGGCACTAGAGCCAATACTAGTTGACGTTAAGCGAGAGGCGGGGCACACCCTGGCCAGTGTATCACAGGGCTGATAGAGACAAAAAACTATTTCCCACCTACAGTCAAATAATAGTCTTAAATCAACCTAATCTCCAATCTGCATGTTTTTGAACTGTGGGAGGAAGCTGGAGTACCCAGAGAATACCCATGCAAACACAGGGAAAACATGCAAGCTCCAGGAATTGAACCAGGGAACCTTTGTGCTGTGAGGGAACATAGGAACTATGAGGAACAATTACATAAAGATAAAATTTCAAAATAAAGTGGATATGAAACATAAGACTGGAGACAGTTTTATACTGTCATTGCTTCTTACTCCTCTTACATTCAACATAACAAACACACAAGGCTGCTTTTTGCAGGTGATTTATTATTACTGTCTATATAGCCCCCTCCTGATTGTAATGATGAAAGTTATTGTCTTTCTGTGTTTGATTTTCTGTCTCAGCTGTTTAATGGCCTCCTGTCATACTCCACCTGCCCACCAGATGTCACTGGACTCTCTTCCTAAGTCCAGATCCAACTGATTACTTATTTCCCATTTCTTATCACTGGAACTTTGCAGCGTAACTATACACCTGTTTCATTTGCAGCATCTGCTCCCCAGTATTATTAAAAGCCCTGTTTCTGCAGGCAGTTGCAGGATGCTAATGACATCTGCTAATGTCTCTGTGTGTTTCTTTTTGGCCTTCTCATGCTGCCAATTCCTGTTCTTTCTTGTAAGTAGTTGTCTAAGCCTGCCTGTCTGTCTGCCCATCTGTAAGTCTGTCTGTTAGTCTGATATTCATCACTTAATAATCAATTCTTAAAATTCTTCGGTCCTCACTAGCTGTGCTCCCACCACCAGCCATGATCGTTTCTTCACTGTGCCCTGTGGGGCAAAATCCTCAAACACACAAAGACATGAGTAATCAAAGACAGACTAGAATAAAACTTTCTTGAGCATGTTTCTTTGTTCCCTCCTTCTTTTTCAAAACAGGCATCTCTACCAAGGGGGGTGTATTGCAGAGTATACTCTCTGTCAGGCATCCAGCATCAAGCTCAAACGTGGAGATCTGTCATCCAAACCACAGCAGGGGGTCCAGACAAGTTTGGATGGATAAGAAAGAAGAAGGTAAGAAATTGTCAATAAAATAATACAGATATAATCCCAAAATACATCTCTGAGTGTTCCTGTTCTTCTTTTACACTTCTCTGTGTCAAAGTGAAGAAAATAAACATCTCTGACTTCATGCATTTTGACTATACAACCTCCTTCATTATGACTGAAGAGATATTTGGACCTGTCTAGTTGTAGTGAAGATTGGGAAAGGAGAAAGTTTTCATGTTTCCATTGCAGACACGCCCACACCGGTTGATTTAAACTTGACCTGAATGATCTACTGCTCAGTTTGTTGTTTACTGGGAATTAAAGTTCCGACTAACTCCACATGGAGTCAGTTCAGCTCTGTGTGCTCCATTAAAACTGCTGCCCAGAACTACATAATATTGCCCACCAAGTCAGTTTGATGTGTATGTCACTAAGCAGCAGTGCAGTGCAGAGGTAAAATACTTTGTCTCCAGTCATTTCATCACTGTGCATTCTTTCTGTGCGGATATGAAAAGCACATGTGATGAGCTCAGTGTTAGACCAGGTGGACTGATGTACTGCATGTGCACTGATCGGTTCACCAGAGACTCAGAACTCCCAGAAGCAAATGAGCAGGTCAATGTATTCTGAAGTAAATCTACAGTTAGGTTGTTGTACATGTAGCCAACTATCTTTCTTTTTTAGAATGTTTTTTTTTTGTCTTTTTGTTTATTATTGCCTCCGCCAGGGAGGTTATGTTTTTGCAATCTTTAATCTGTGCAAAAATGTGCAAATTTAAAATTCTTTTTTCGAAACAATTTAGGTTGTCACATGGGATTTTTTGGAGGGTTTGTGTAGAGGGAATCGCATAACAAAAAACAAACTCTGGAACGAACACATTTGATTTGTCAAATGCAGAGTGCTGAAACCTAATGTTAACACAGAGGTAACCATTGTTTGTGAAACTGTTCTACATTCTGGCACCAACAGTGATAGTAACCATCACCATTTATATCTTTATCAGTGCTGATAGAAGTGAAAAATGTGCTCCATAGCGGGAACAATTATGGATATACTATCTGAAAAGTACTAAGTGATTTTAAGTTCACTTGCTAAAAA